AATTGCATAGCTCAGGAAGAAAGCCTCTAGCCTTCAGAAGCCGGGGCCCCTGCCTGTGTGCCAAAGAGGCGCCCAGGCATTTCCACAGCATGGTGAGGAATGCCACAGTGGCCAGGATTCAGGCCCAAACCTGGTTCTTTGTCAATATTGACAGTCACATTGAGTGCCAGCAGTGGCCCACCATGACCCTGGCGCTCAGGGACGATCAGGACTGGGGTGGAATGCTCTAATGTTTCCATGTTGGAGGGACAATGCACCAGATTTGACAGTTCACAGCGGGCTCTCACTGTCCAGGTAAGGACACTCGGCTGCCTTTCTGCAGTCAGGTAAATGGCGTATGCATTTGTTCCTTCCATCAGTCTACCAGGGTTTGTTGACCTTCCTGCTATGCGTTGGGCTGGGGCTGTGAGCTGAACCTGGGGCGAGCTGTTCTCAGTGTTTAGTAGTTTGTTTACTTGCTTTTAGTTGTGCTAAGGGTTTTGCTACCTGGTGACAGGTTTAAAGGGGTTATTGTGTAGGTTCCTCAGAAGGTCCCGGCTACCCAGTTGCCTTAAGCCCAGGATCACAGCCCACCCTGTGCTGGCTCCCAGCTCTTTAATGTGGTTCCTTCAGCTGCTGGATCCCGGGGTAATGAGTCCAGAGCCAGGGCTGGGAGCAAAGGAGGGGTTGGGCTCATGGAGAAAAGTGCTCCGGGTGTCAATGACCGTGTGGGGTGGTACTGTGTGTAGACGTGGTGTCTGCCCAATGTCAGGACAAGGGGAGCATCCAGTGGCACGAGGCCCCGCCAGGAACGCTGTCTCCAGGGTGTGTGAGGGAGCAGGTGGTCCGAAAGGGAAGGCGTTGGCTCTGTGATTGCCCCCTGAGGGCTGGTGGAAGGAGTAAGGACCCCTTCCATCGGAGTGAGGACCCCCTGCCGCAGCACCCCCTCCCCTGCCCTGTGCTCCAGGGGCTGCAGTTGGATCCCGTCCTGTAACAGCGGGATAAATGATCCCTTCAGTTCCCAGGGTAGCATGTGTGTAAGTTTCTAGAGTGCTGCCAGTTGGGGAATCCATGTCCCTCCCCCAACACAGATATACTCCATGTGCACACACACACACACACACTCGCACACCCACCTGTATACCGCAGCTGCAGTGGCTTCTCCTTTCTCTGAACTTTGGATTCAGCCTCTCAGAGGCCTTTTCATGGCTTCTCTGTTGTTGGTGGCCTTGCCTGCACTGGCCCCTTGGAACCAGAGGCCCTTGAGGGCAGGTACATAGAAGGCTCCTGGCAAATATTTACTGAATGACTGAGATAAGGGGTAAATGAATTCCAGATGGGTGAAGTGTCAAGGCTGGGGAAATTGGGGCCGACCCAGGTTTTCTGAGTCCCAGCCCGGGCCTGGGGCCAGCTCGTCCTGCCTCGGCTGCTTTGGCCCAGGGACAGCACACCAATTACCCTGTGCTCTTTCCAAGAACTCATGCTCCCCTTTCTTGCTCTGAGTCTAGCAGCTGGCATTGGTTATGACTGACCCTTCGCAGCACCTGCACCTGCTCGTGGAGTCACAGGGCGTCGGGTCTCACAGGGCATTCTGAGGTGAATGTCTGTTGTGGCCCTGCCTCACAGCGGGGCTCTGCACAGGGCTGTGATCCTCAGAGCATCTCCTTGGTGCTGGCCAGCTCTGCTGAAATTCTAAGTTCTCCCGCGGATCCCGTGATGTGGGGTCAAGTTCTGAAGGGGACAGTTGCTCTCTGTCTCCTGGGGCGAGCAGCTGGGCTAGTCACCACTGACACGTGTAGCGAAAGAGCTGGTGCTGGGGCTGCTCTCCTCTGGTGGTTTCTGGACCCCCAGGATCTGGGTGGTAGCGAGACCCTTCCAACTGTGACAGATTCTGATTGTGGATGTTCATGGACTTGTGCAGAAGCTGAGTTTGGGTCCCCTGAGGTTGGGGTGAGAGTGGTTCTCCTACGGGCTGGCCTTCTTTCTTGGGTATGTCTGTAGGGTCTCTTCATCAGTTCATCTATTTAGCCAGAAAATACTGAGCCTACAATAAGCCAGCTCTGTCTAGGCCCCAAGGCTTCATCTGTGACCAAGACAGACATGATCCTGCCCTCATGGGAAAAAAAGCACATCTGTAAAAGGGTCAACAAGAAAACTTTGTCCTAGTGGCGAGTGCTATAAAAAAGAAAGTCAGATGATGGGATGAGAGAGGCTGAGGGTGTCAATCTCAGACAAGGTGGGCATAGAGGGCCTTTGTGAGAAGGGGATATGAGAGCTGAGACCTACATGAAGAGAAGGAGCGACTGTGCCTTTGCACATTCTAGAACATTCTTTGCTCAACGACGGCACCTGGAGACCAGTTGCTTAAAGGGGTTTTAAAAAAGCTTTGTTGACTCTGAAAAAAAATCGTTTTGAGCATAATAAGAGAATTCCATATCCAAACCTAACTTGAAACTCCCCACACTCACTATTTGACAAGTTGAGCTGTTAACTTGCCCTGCATGAATGGCGGGGATGGTCTTCAACTTCATGCCCGTCATCCAACCTGATTTGCAGTCTTGCTGTGTTGCACATTCAGCCTCCTCTCCCTCCTGCTGAATTGGCATCATCTCATCAGCAGCAACCTGAAAATAGCCCGTCTTCCTGGATTCGTGTCTTCTGAGCTGGCCAACTGGGCAGCCTTTGGAAGTGGGCCAGCCATGTTGGCTTTGGACTTTCCAAACTTCCCCAGAGCTGTTGGGTGGAATTCTGAGCACTCCCAAGTGGCTTTAGGGTCATGATCGGTGTTTGCTCAGGAGAGGAGCCAGCACAGCTAGATGGAGCTTCACAGCGGAGGAAGGGCTCCAGACAGGACCCTGGGGGCCTGCTAGAGTCCCCCGAGAGCCTTCCAAGCACAGTCCTGCTCCAGCAGCTTGGGCCTGCTCTCCCTGCTGGCCAGAGGGTGCCACGCGTGCTGGGGCCAGCCAGGCTTGTCCACCAGCACATCTGCCGTGCCAGGGTCAGGGCCTGGCACACAGTGGGAACTCAGCAAGTTTGTTGAATAATGCAAGACTCTCCATAAGAAATTACTGCTTTCTGACCAGTCTTCAAAATGGGCCTGTTTCTTTTTGAGTGCCGACTGCCACCAGAAAGGAAAAGGAAAGAGGGCAAATCGGAAGCCTTCTTTACAAGTGACTAGCTGCCTATGTGTGTTTGAATGAGTGTGTGCGGTGGTCCATGTCATTGTTCATGGACACAGTAGCCCTGTACCACGCTTACATGTTCTCTCCTTCCTGGAAATAAACACCTATGTCTTTTTCTTCCCTTCCCTTGCAAGATGGATTCACAGCCCCTGTCCTCTTGCCAAGGAAGTCAGGTCTCCCAGTGGAGAGCCTCCATGCCATGTACAGCCTGCCTGGCGGGGGGCCCAGCAGGCAGCAGACCCCACCTGGGCTGAATGTGCTTCCTCCACGGTTGAGCTCTGTCCCCACAGGTCCCCCTGGGGGATTGCTTGGCCCAGGAATCAGTCCTGGCTGGAGTTAAGCGCTGCTCCTGGACCACCTGGCTGGCCAACGCATCTAAACCTTGGGATACAAAGAGGATAGATGTGCAAAAACTGTTCCAATGGCAGGAAGCGAATTTGGACTTCTTCAGGTGGAAGACAGATCTGGAAATGGAAGGACCCCAGGCATGGGTTCATTGCCTTCCAAAGCTGAGCTCCCCGCAGGCTCTGATGTGGAGGGGGCTGTTCCGTCCGTCCCTCCTGGAACTGTCTGGTGTTAGCCATTCTGCACAGGCTGCAGAGGGGGACAAAGAGGACTATTAAAGACAATTATGCAGACCAGCTTTGAGGGTTAGTGTTTAACAAACAGCTTTGAGTTCTAATTTTCTGCAAAACACATACCGCAGGTACAATTTGTACTCATTACTGTATATTGGGAAAGTTATTAAAAACACTCAAACTTGGTTGAGACTTCCTATGGCATCGTCCCTGGATTTTAATTGGTTTTTATCTAGTCCTATAAAAGATCTCTTTCAGCCCAAAGTCCGTGCCTCGGAGAGCATGCCAGTTTGAAGGGCAGGGAGAGCCCACTACGTGGTAGAAGGCTTTGCCCCCACCCAAATTTGATCAGTCTCAACAATCCACTAAGATCCCGTCACGAGATAATTTATACTTCTTTTGATGGGCGCAGTTACCAAATGACAAAATAACAGTGTTTCGTAACATAAGGGTTAAATCTTAATCTCTGAGGTTTGCAAAGCCGCTACTCGCAGTCTCCTTAAAATTTAATATACCTCGTTAATGCTTCCTCGCAAACACTGAAGGATTTTTATGATTATAATCATGTGTTACAGCACCTAGCACTGTTTCTAAGCAGCATACTAATCAGCTTAATGAGATATTACTGCACTTTTTGTTGACTAAAGCAAAATCCCTTTTATTGTTCTAAAGCCTGTCCTTTACTTTATTTTTTCCCAAAACATTATCTTGTTTTATTATGTACCAGTAAATATCATGCCATTGGGTTTTTTTTGGGGGGGGGCAGCAAATCGTAAAATAATCTCTTTAATCTCAGAATGGCGAGTCTGTTGGATATAGGAACCGGAAACAAAACTTCCAAGCGAGTCTCTTTGGTCTTGCTGTTAAAACTGGTCTTCTCTTAGGAAAACTTTGAACTGATCCAACAGGTGCAGGTGCCAGACGGGGGGGAAAGGAGGACGAGTTCAACACGTAGACCCTTGATTTGTTATTAGGTGTTGAAAGTGGTAAAACATCAATAATTTAAATGTGAATGAATAATTGCAGTCTGTAAATAGAAAATACAAGGAAGACGATCTATCGCCAAAACAAATTGGAGGAGCAATGCCATATTGCATAATTGGCATTTAATAATTCATTTTTTTATTATTGTTTTTGACTATAATTCCTTAGCATTATTATGTGTAGGTAAGGCATGAAATGCAAATTCCCCACCAGCAGACGCTGTTGATTCACGCGCCGCGGTGCCTGGCACAGGTCTGAACTCTCTCTTTATTTTCAGGGATGGAAGAAACCAGTCTGTGCCTTGGAGTGTCCTCGGCGGCACCGGAAGCTGAGTCCCACCTGAGCGGCCCCGTCCTCAACGGCCAGTATGCCATGAGTCAGAAGTTGCACCAGATCACCTCCCAGCTCAGCCATGCCTTCCCCGAGCTGCATCCGCGGCCCAACCCTGAGGAGAAGACGCCCGCGCCCCTCGATGAGAAGGCCCACGTGCCCATGAGTGGCCAGCCCATGGGCAGTCAGATGGCTCTCCTAGCCAACCAGCTGGGCCGGGATGTCGATACCAGCCTCAATGGGCGAGTGGACCTGCAGCAATTCCTCAACGGGCAGAACCTGGGCATCATGTCCCAGATGAGCGACATCGAGGACGATGCCCGAAAAAACCGCAAGTACCCGTGCCCTCTGTGCGGCAAGCGGTTCCGCTTCAACAGCATCCTTTCCCTGCACATGCGCACTCACACCGGCGAGAAACCCTTCAAGTGCCCCTACTGCGACCACCGGGCGGCGCAGAAGGGGAACCTCAAGATTCACCTGCGGACCCACAAGCTGGGCAACCTGGGTAAGGGACGCGGGCGGGTGCGCGAGGAGAACCGCCTGCTGCACGAACTGGAGGAGCGGGCCATCCTGCGGGACAAGCAGATGAAGAGCAGCCTGCTGCAGCCCCGGCCCGACCTGAAGCCCCTGCCGCATGCTCAGCAGGCCCCTCTGGCCACCTGCAACCTGGCCCTGCCTGCCAACCACAGCGTGCCCGACGTGGCCAACCCGGTGCCCTCGCCCAAGCCGGCCAGCGTGCAGGAGGACCCGGTGGCGCCGGCTGCTGGCTTCCGCTGCACCTTCTGCAAGGGCAAGTTCAAGAAGCGGGAGGAACTGGACCGCCACATCCGCATCCTGCACAAGCCCTACAAGTGCACGCTGTGCGACTTTGCGGCCTCACAGGAGGAGGAGCTCATCAGCCACGTGGAGAAGGCGCACATCACCGCCGAGTCGGCCCAGGGCCAGGGCCCCAACAGCGGCGGGGAGCAGTCGGCCAACGAGTTTCGCTGCGAGGTGTGTGGGCAGGTGTTCAGCCAGGCGTGGTTCCTCAAGGGCCACATGCGGAAGCACAAAGACTCCTTCGAGCACTGCTGCCAGATCTGCGGCCGGCGCTTCAAAGAGCCCTGGTTCCTCAAGAACCACATGAAAGTCCACCTCAACAAGCTGTCTGTGAAGAGCAAGTCCCCCAGCGACCCTGAGCTGCCTGTGCCCATGGGGGGCATGTCCCAGGAGGCCCACGCCAACCTGTACTCCAGGTACCTCTCCTGCCTGCAGAGCGGCTTCATGGCCCCAGACAAAGCCGGCCTGAGCGAGCCCAGCCAGCTCTACAGCAAAGGGGAGCTGCCCGTGAAGGAGAAGGAGGTTCTGGGCAAGCTGCTGTCCCCCATCTCCGGCATGGCCCACGGCGTCCCTGAGGGTGACAAGCACTCCCTCCTGGGATGCCTCAACCTCGTGCCGCCGCTGAAATCCAGCTGCATGGAGCGGTTGCAGGCAGCTGCCAAAGCTGCTGAGATGGACCCGGTGAACAGCTACCAGGCTTGGCAGCTCATGGCCAGGGGTATGGCCATGGAACATGGCTTCTTGTCTAAAGAGCATCAGCTACAGCGCAACCACGAAGACACTTTGGCAAACGCCGGGGTTCTGTTTGATAAGGAGAAGCGGGAGTACGTGTTAGTGGGAGCAGATGGCTCGAAGCAGAAGATGCCTGCTGATTTGGTTCACAGCACTAAAGTGGGCAATCCGAGAGACCTGCCAAACAAACTCGACCCTCTAGAAGGCAGTCGGGATTTTTTGTCACATGGGCTGAACCAGGCGCTCGAATATAACCTGCAGGGTCCTGGGAACATGAAGGAGAAGCCCACCGAGTGCCCGGACTGTGGCCGAGTGTTCCGCACCTACCACCAGGTGGTCGTGCACTCCCGCGTCCACAAGCGGGACCGCAAGGGCGATGATGATGGGCTTCAGGTGGGCCTGGATGAGCGGCGCGGCTCGGGCAGTGACCAAGAGTCCCAGTCGGTGAGCCGCTCCACCACGCCAGGCTCCTCTAACGTCACCGAGGAGAGTGGGGCTGGAGGCGGGCTCTCTCAGACGGGGAGTGCCCAGGAGGACAGCCCGCACCCCTCCTCGCCGTCCTCCTCAGGTAGGTTGCCGGGGAAGGTGGGGGAGGAGCAGCCTGCACAGGGCCCTCCCTGCCCAGGGGACCTGGTCCTGTGCAGGCCTCGGTGGGCCAAGGACCTTCTCTGCTCGTCAGAGTCAGTTCTGAGGTCAGCGTTGCTCGATGACATGCCATGAGCGGGCTGCACACCGGCCCTTGCCGTTCTGCCCTGCCTCCAGGAACGGCTATCATTTCAACTCTTGGCCTTCCCTTGAACACTGGCTACCAGGAGAGTGAGCTGATCCTCCTCTCATGTGGTGGAGATGGCCAGTTGGCACATTTGCCAATGGGGCTTAGCCTACCATTCCCCTGCAGTTGCCTACCGGGCCCCATTTCATGCCCTGACTCCATCTGCCATCACCTGGTCTCCAGGACTTGGGAGCTGGCACTCGGCTCCATCCATGGATGTGAATGTGGAAGTGCAGAGCCTCACCGTCTTTCCCCTAAGTATATTCCCATAATTCTCTCATTTGGGCACCCCGGTCTCCCTCCCCAGACAAAACCTGTCCCCCGTCCCCTTCCAAAATTACAATGCAGCTCACCTTTCAGGCCCCTCTGACCTGAAGAACCATGCCACTCTCCTCTGAAGGATTGGAAAAGCACAGAGGTTTGAAACACAGATGCGCGACTGCATGTCTTAAATTGTACTGTGTTACACAGGCGATACAGCTTTGGGGTCTAAAATAGCAAAGCAGAAAATCTGTCATCAAAATGTCTGTGAAATGCTGAAGCTTCCTGGCCCAGTTTGAAAAGAAAAAACACTAGCCCAAGACGCCTAAATTAAAATCGCTACCTAACAGCAGGTAAACTGTTGCCTCCATCCATATTTCCAAAGCCCCTTACTAATGGATAGTAAATTGAAAGTTATATCTCTAGCCCTTTATAAAGAAAGCATCTCGCTAATACTGTAATCATTCTGCAGCCTAACAACAGAGGAAATCATGCCATAACAAATACCCCGTTACTAATGGCAACATTGATTTCTGCAATCAGCCATTAAGTCTCGAAAATGAAAGACAGTTTGAGGCACCTCAAGGCACTGTGTTGCCCACTGTTAAAGATGTGGTAGCTCACTGTTGAGGGTCATTTTTTAAAAGTTTTTTTTTCCTTCTCGGTTTCGATGAATATTTCAGTATTGGAGGCAATGCCCTGCTACAGTTGTTAAGTAGATGCCCGTTTGGCTTTGTTGCTATTGTCATGCTTCAGTATACCTTTCTTCTAGGGCAAAATTAGTGTTAAAATAAAGTGTGAGTCTGCTGGCTTATTACAAACCAGTAAAGAATCGTTAAGACACATAAATCTGAACTGCACATTCCAGAGATTCCGATGGCAGTTAATGCCGCTGCTTAAATACCCATGAAACACACTGTCTACTGCTGGAGTCCTGGGCTCGTTTGCGATTTATTTCTGGTGAGACGCTCTGGAAGAGTCGGACCAGGAATGTGGGCACCTCGGAGCGGGGGGCCACACTGCCGGAGTGACCGCCACACGGAACCTGCCGGGTGCAGGGGAGGGGCTTCAAGTTTCACGGCCCCACAGCGGGAACTCTGTAAAGATGGATCTGGGCTCCGCGGAGGCAGCAAACTGCCAGGCGTCCCACTGGCAGGAGGGACCATTCCCGGCCTCGCTTGAAGAGGGCCCGTCTTCCGGGGAGTGTTGTCTCACTGCTTTGGATTGGGGACCTTCCCAGGGCAGCAAGCAGAGAGCACACTGGCTCTCCTAAGTTTCTGGAGTGATGTGGAGTTAACACTGACAGATTTTCATCCCTCTCTCAGACCTGCTGAAATGAAACGGTCTCGGCAGAATCTTCCAGCACCAAATGTTCGGCTTTATTAATGACGTGTTTATCGTGTTTTCTCACCTTCTGGCCAAGTGATAGCCTCATGCTATTCCTATCTCTGTTGTTTCCATATCTCTAAATACTCTGTTGAAAAAACCCATTTTGCTTAAAAGAACCAACTGGGCTTATGACTCAAAGGAGAATTATACTTGAGTTTCGGTTATCTTCTTACTTGTGTTTCCCTCACTGAAGTGTTTTACAATTGTGAATGCCGATTCTTTTATTTCTGGTTGACTTCTTTGTTTTCTTCATATTCAAATTAGACCCTTTCATAATTTTCTAAGTAGGAAAATTGATGGCATACCAATATGTAGGCCAGATCAGCTGCAGGCCTGGGGCGTTCAGGTTTTCCCAGGATTACAACCCTTAACCAAATCTGGTTAGTCTTCCCTCTTGTTTCTAACAAGTGTGACTTGTATAAAGTGTGATTAAAATAAGCATTTACATAAAAATCTTGACACAATAGGTATTTTATTATTACCTGTTAGAGAGAAACCTGCAAGGTGAAGGGGAGGAAAAAAAATCTTTAAGCCCTTAAGTAAAGAAAGGAGTACTTATTAAGGCTTCTATTAAGAAGTAACTGCAAAACACGGTTTTACAAATTTCTCAGACTGCATAACAATGTCGCAAAACTTAATTTGCATCACTTGATTCTTTTTTTGTTGAAAACTGGGTCAGTAGGGCCTGAGAAACTATTTTTTCAGATCTTAACCAATGAATTCTTCTTTATAAATCGCTGCTCTTAACATGATAGTAGTTCTGAATTCATCATAAAAAACCTTTTTACAGAGAACCTCTTAGAACAGACCTCCAGAAGAAGGCTTACAATGAGTGGCAGAGACGTCCTTTGTTATCTGATGTAATTCTTTGCAAAGGAGGATTGGGAACGGAGTGGCTGTTTAAAAATGTCTTGCTCAGACCGAGACGAAGAAGGGGTCAAGTTTGCAATCAAACAGTTATTGCGAGATGGGTGACTGTCAGTGGCTGGGCTAATGTGGGATGCAGCTGTTTGTTATGTGAGCAAAAGAATGTTTGAATCAGTGAACATGTGAAAATGATTCCAGTGAACCAGAAAATGTGTTTGTTCTTTGGCTCTCCAAACTGCTGAGAACCAAGCTTAAGATCAACTGTGAAAACTAGGACCTTTGACAAATTGAGAGGTCATATTTTCTAACAGAAAACGGACAAAACTAGTCACACAGATCACTTCCCCATCTTCCCCCGTTGTTTTATTTCTGTTGTTGTTGATTTGACTTACCAATAATTTCACGCCATCGTAGATGTCATTTCTGCCTCCGTGTACAACGCAAAGGGAAACTATTTGGAAAGCGGCTTATAAATTTTACTCTTTTATGACATTGAGAGAGCGGGCGGCTGTTTTGATGCTCTCTCCTTTCTGGCTTGCGTGCAAACACTCCAGTGGCATTAATCTCTGCATCTTTCCCTAAAACCTCGTCTAAGACTGTGCTGGGATCTGAGCTTCACTCTGAGTCAGAAAACCACCAAAGTTCTGTTTCTTTAGATTTTGCTTTGGAAATCACGCTCAGAATAATTAAAACTTAATGTAGTAAGAAACGATACTGTTCATTATATCCAACAGGGCAGTTACCTTCCACATTCCCCATAATTTTGGAGAGGGGCTAATTGAAGTGTTGATGGTGGGAAAGGCGTAATTGAATGCGTTGACCCTCTGTTCATTACATAAAGCCGGCTAAGTTACGTGATCAATGGAGAGCCAGGGAGAGATGCAGAGATGAACGTATCGTTAACCCTGCTACTTCTGCTGTAATATTTTGAGATGGACAAGGATTATTTGATCAGCTGGGCTAGAAGCCTTGTTGGTCTTCTTTTGTTTCCCAGGCTGCATTCCTGAAATGCTGGGTCTCCATCCTGTGCAGGCCCATTGACCACAGCATCAAAGGCCTTTATCCAGGGCTCCCTTGCACTGACATCGGGTGTAGAGTGATATGATAGATTTTCTTTCTTTTCCACCTCTTTTTCTCACGTGGCTCCTCCTCCCTGCCCCCATTCATGATAACCACAGCCTGCTCCACACAAACAAATCCAGGCACCCAAAAGAAGGAAAAAAAGAAAAAGACAAAATTTAAGTCTGAGGATTAAGATCTTCTTTTTTTTTTTTTTTTGCTTGTGCATTCCAATTGTTCTTAAAATATTTGGCAATGTCAATTAGTAACTGAGCAGAGTTAGCTGATGAACACAATTTTCCAGTAGACTGAGCACCCTATTGTTGCCGAGCGAACAGCAGATTTCTGAGGTCATTATCATTCGCTGGTTGCTTGGCCCAGCTGCTTCCTGCTGCAAAAGCCAAACTTTATACTGGAGCTCGGGGATGGCGTGCAGCAACAGGGGGCTGGGCGGGGGAAGAGGGGAGCTGGCTGCAGAGCCGAAGACAGTCATTATCAGCAGAGGAAACAGAAAGTAAAAGTTTCCAGGCAATTCCAGGAAAACTGCCCCATCAGGCTTCTCCCTCTGTCGCTCTCCAGCACCTTCCACCTCCAGGCGGGGAATTAAAGGGCCAGGAGACGCCCCCCCCCCCCCCCCCCCCGGGCATTGTGGCGACTAACCTCTTTGCTGTGCCGGACTTTGCAAACAATAATCCTGTTTACAAATTTGCCTAAAAATTGTTAACCCAGTCTAAGGCAAGTGAGTGATTTCCTCATAGATAGACTCCTTCATTTTTATTAAAAACAGAAAAAAAGAGAACAAAAACAACTCTTTTTTTCAGATGAAATTAGTAACTTGAAATTAGTAAACTTGGGGTGACAAACAGGGAACGTGATTTCATTTTCCAGAGGGACTTTGGAGCAGATAATAATCTGAGATTCCTTGTAAAATCAAATTTAGTGCGGAATGCCCCCCCTTCCCTTTTTTCCTCCCCACTCTCTGCCTTCCCCACCCCCTAATTTGGGAGCTGGTTCAGTGAGATGAAAAGCTGCACTTTTTTAAGGCTCAGCTGTTGAAACCAAGCACCATATGCAGCCCTTCCGCCCTGACACGGGGTGTGTGCAGGCGGCCGCCGGGTTTGTGGGGATTTACGGGGCTCGGCTCGTGTGTGCCGAAGCCGTGCCCGGGAGGACGCCAGTGGCCCTGCCTGCCAGTGCCGTGGCCCCTGCCTAGACAAATA